GTGTTACGGGCCTCCACGACCTGGTGATGTCACCGCCGGTCGCCTAATCCACGTTCGGTTACCAGACACTTATCCTCTGCGACTGAGAAAACCCTGTTAGGCTAGGCCTAATTGATGTTTTTTAAAATGTAGGTTAGGCTATGATTTGTAAATAGAGCCCCTTTAAACCAGGCTATAAGTTAATGTTGTGCTAGAATAATTTAAATCCATTGGAACAGTTTTTATCTGGGAAAGCATTAACCTATTCAAAAGAAAATCAGGCGTCAAAGCTTAAATATCTGTTTTATCCTGTGTATCTGTTCAACCACCACACATGTTTTGAAATTCCCATTTTAGGGTTTAAAATGTGGTGCATGGAACCATTGCTAGCCAGCCTAGCAGCACTGCTGCTCTGTCAGTTCAGGCTGCAACATGTCCTGCCAAGAACTGTACAAAGTGCTCATAAGTTAGAGTACCAAAGTTATTGCCTATGATAATATAGCTTATATCTGGATTTTTTTGGTGATCTAACCGTAACTTAAACTTAATAAGGTATTTTTAAAGTCTTTCATATGTTACCACCTAGGATAGGTAAACTTACAATCTATAACTAAGATAACGGTAGGCCTTGGAGGTTGGAGGGTGTACAATTCACAAGTTTTGTTAAGTTAGTTGTTCTTAATTCTTTTAACTTATAATTCAGATTTCACTATCATTCAGCTCCTACGATTTGGATTTTGTAGGACATGCCCTACAAAATTTAATAATTAATAATCCTACCTACATAATGAATCAGGATCTTTTAAGCTACCCATTGTACCCACTGACTTATAGCCAGTGTTTCAACACGACCAACCTGGGCGCCCACAAAAAATAAGAAATAAATTTAATACCCAAAATGTTCTGTAATCACTTTTATTAATCAAAAGTGAATTATAGAAATTTATCAAAGTACGTTTCATAATGGTCATTTCTGAAAAAAATGTTTTAAATCAAATAAGATAAGTACTTGACTCACACATGTACCATTCTTATACCGGTACGGTACTTAAAAAAAAAACACCATTCAGAAAACAAAACATTAACTTTCTTTGTTCTTAGGCTTAAGTCAACTGTAAATTTATTTTTCTTTTTAATTGCTTGGCTTGTGAATTTTACCATATAAATTACACATAACAACTTAACTTCAAATAGCTTATTAATTTAAATGTTGGCATGAAGAACGATGACTTACCCTCCTTATGATGCACAATATACTTTTATTTGTTGGTCGTTGGTTCTATGTTTTACCAAATAGTGTAAACATGTGTTTTTAAAACACTATATTTTCAGAAAATCTTCTTGGGAAGGCCCCAGACCCCCCAGATGGTCGTTATATATATATATATATATATATATAAATAATTGAAAACACATTAGTACCCTTTTAAATTCATTTTTAATTATAAGCGACATGTTTCGACACTTAGGTCATAGTCATGTTTACATTTACAAATACAATAACCTACAATAAATAAATATATAAACTTATATTATATATGTATATATATTGCACCAACCTGTTCCAAATCCACGCCCATGCGACCAGAACTTAAGTAAAATGCCGCTTACCGGGTCAAGCAAATCTGATCCATTACACCTTAACCCTAGGAGTGGCGAGACAAATTTCAGTATATGGTTTGTGAAGTGGCACGCTTATTTTGGTGAATTTGTAAGGGGATTTTTCAAAAATCTGTATACAATTGATATTCCTAAGTAGAGATAAGCTTTGAATTGTACGGTACATTCATTTTGTTCGTACTAGTCAGTAGAATTCAAAAATGGCAATAAAACCAATTTTAGGAAGGAGGAGTTTTAGAAAAATGTAAAAAAACCACAAATATTTATATATATTTAAATTTTATTTTAAAAGCAAAAACTTGTCACATGTAATATAAATTTATTGCATGTGTTTAATCCAAAAAATGCAAATTGTACAGTTACCGGTAATTCATTTCTCTACATAGATGTACACAAAATCATAATATAGGCTACACAAAAGAATTATTTTTTAAGATTTACTAGCAACAATACGTAATAATTATTGGAAAACGTAAATTTCTGCAACTACACTTTGATAGATCCAAAAATGCCCTCTAATAATAAATCAATATCATAAATCCATACATTTTTTGAAGCCAATAATATTATTTTAAATAAGAATATTTATCTAAATAAGATAAGTAATAGAATAGTTTGTTTTCACATGAGCAAAAATGTAAACAAAACATTTGATCAGCTGTCACGCAAATTCACTGACTATTTATCCTGTTTTGGATCACACATGTGTAAATATTTATGCAAAATAATGAATAAATATTAGCCTACACCTAATGGGTCATTACGTATGAAATCAACCAATAAAAATTCTTTTCAACCTGACCATCTTGGATTTTGATGGATTTTGAGTCCTGAATCCAAATATTTTTTTTTAAATCTATGTTCATAGTTTCAAAGATATAAATATTTCAATATGGTAATATTTTTATGTTAAATTATTAGGCCTATGTATTAATTATTAATATTAATATTATTATTATTATTTATATGTTTAATATGTCAAAATGGAATAACATGCAGCACATAAGAAAACACTAAACTAAAACGCACATTACACCGTAAAATTACGGATAAAACTCACACTTCAGGAAGTTATCGGGCAAAAACTCACGACAACGCCGCCATTTTAGGTTAGACGATGACAAGTGTTCTGTTCTTTCAGCTTTGAAAAATCCAAGGCTTCTATTTGTGTGACCAGCCTGACAACATTGAATTATACTTTTCAAATTATATATTACAGTGGAGTCCCGATAATCCGAACTTCGGTAATCCGAAAGTCCGCTTAATCCGAAACCAAAAAATATATTTTTAAAATTTTTTTTATAAAAAAAATTAAAATTTAAAAATTTTTTGAAATTTTTCGAAATGTTTTTGAAATTTTTTGAATTTTATTTTTAGTTTTTTTTATTAAACTTTTAACACAGTTAGCTGTACCTTGTCAACGTATTCTGTAGCGGCCGGGCGAGATAGACTTTTTTTTAGAGTATTTTATTAAATATTTCACCATTTTTGTTATTACTGTAACATTTTTCATTTTCGTCCGACAAATCACAAATGAATTTTATTACTGTAAGTGATAATGCTGCAGCCACTAGGTCTAGCCTTAAGTAATTTGAAAAACAATCCGGGCTCGTGCCTGCGTCCTAAGACAAAAAAAAATTTTAAAAAAATTATTTTGTTTTTCAAAATGAAAAAAAACAAAAAAAAACGTTTAATCCGAAATATTTGGTAATCCGAAATGGGCCTGGTCCCAACCATTTCAGACTAACGGGACTCTACTGTATATGCGTTTCAGAGATCGACAATTTTTGTCGATTCACCTAACTATCCTCACGTAAAAATTGGCTATTTACAAAAAATGTTTATCAGCTTTGTATTATGGCACTTTGTACAATAATGAAAGTTTACTTCCTCCTTGTTGCAGTGGTATCACTTGTCTTTGCTAGAAACAAAAATTAAGTCTACTATGATTTTTTAAAATTAGCCTACTCATCTTTCACAATTTCACAACGAAACATGGTGGTTGCGAGTTTGCGTGTTATTTTCATTCAAATGTAACTCATGATTGGATTGATTACTTATGTTATAAGGTTCATTCTTACAATAAAATGAAACTTCCGAATTTCATCTTTCCATTGGTATAAGAGTAATGTAATTTTACCTACTATAACTGTGTGTAAACAAATTTTACGTTAATTGACAAATTTTGTTGACTGCCACTTCAGCAACACAGTTTGTGATCGATATTTTTAGTCGATTCACCACTCATAAGGTTAATTCAATAAAAAATCCAGTTTTATCCCTTCATGAAATTTCCTGTTCTGTCCCGAGTAAACTTTATATTGTATAATGCTTAATAGCTCTTTAAATTTAGCCTAGCTATGATACTTTCTAGAATAGTCTGACCAATTAGTGTTTAGTTTTTATCTGAAAATTTGTAAATAACTAAAAAAAGGATCAGAGCCGACAATCTCATTTCATCCCACATCCCGTTTTAAACCTGATCAAGGTCTGACGTAATTGAGTTTTGGGATAAAGATTCCATGTACCTACATGGAAACATTACTGACTGGGAAATTATTTATAACGTGACTATGGGAACCCATAACGATTTTCACTACTGTTAAAACAGAGAAAAAAGTTATCTGCTTACAAAAATTAAATGAACTAGCCCAAGTTTTGAATAAGTCTTTTTGTTAAAATTCTTGTCTGCTTGCTCCATTACCTTACATTAAACTTCTAAACCGTGAGTGAACATACAAAAACTAAGTTAAATAGTTATGATGTTCAACTCTTCAAAGAGATAAAGAAGAAACGTCAAATCATTTATTTCAAGGCATTTGGAATTCAAAGATTACAGTACCAAACGTCAAAGATATGCAACTCTGTTTTTTTAGCTAACAAATTTTAAAGCTAGTGAGTGAACCAAAGGTTCCTTTTCATTTCCTTTATAAGAGTATAATGTACTCTTGCGATATATTAGCACTTTTTAACAAATACTGCTAAGGGTATTTATGTAGATATGAACTTTTAGAGGTGATAAATGCTTTACTTCTGGACTCTGAGGTTTTTTAACACTTAGCCTATATGACTTCACCATAATTAACATGATTTGTTTGTTTTTCTAATAATCTGATGCGATATTGCTTGTTATGTGCAGGATTGATTTCAAAGAAGATAGCCATGAGTAATCCAGTGAAGAAAGTTCCGATTCACCTACAGGTAAACCTTTTGCCCAGATTCTTGTAAAGGCTGTGACAATTTTAATATATTTTTATTTTTAAAATTTGAAATGTTGTATGCCTTACTTTTATTTTCAATAAACAATTTGTTTGGTATATTGTTAACTGTGCTAAAAGTTTTATTTTCCTACCGTTACCTGACAAAGCGGGCTTCATAGCACCGATTTTAGCACGTAAAGTAGCTAATTGCTACATTTACTTTTTTGCCGCACTCCAGTATTCCAGCCAAACAACACTAAAGAATCTGCTTTTATTAGGCACGTAATATGTGTAAGCTTGAAAATAAGCTGGCAACACCTAAAGATACAACGACTACAATCAGCTAGTGCAGCGTTCCCAATTTCGTTCAGCGCTTGGATTTAACCTAACCTAAAAACGTGCTTTATAGTGTTTGAAAGACTGATTATTTTTATGCGTTATAGTAGGCCCCTAACTGTAGGAAAAGTATAATGTACAACGCGAGCACATTGATTACTAAGCTCTAGTTTTCCTATTGGATAGGCCTACCTTAATCTACAGACCAACCTTGTGGTGAAATTGTAAAGCTTAGTTTACAGTTTTTTTTAACGAAGAATATGATAGATTTTTCTATTTTAAGGATGGTTTTCCCATTACACAGTGCTTATTTAAATCATATTTTTCAGAGTGCTCAAAATAGGCTTCTTATCAAAAATGGAAAAATTGTGAATGCTGATGAAATAATCGATAACGATGTTTACATTGAAGATGGTGTCATCAAGTAAGTATGGCATGGATAACTAAATGTTTCTTCGTGGTGTTTATGTAAAAAATATCTAGGAATTTTAATAATTGAATGGGAGTAAAGGGTCACTGATTTGTCTGGCGCAGACAGTTTGAAAATTAAATAACATAAGCTGTAGTTGACTTATGGTAGCCTATATTTATGTCTCAATATTATAAATTGAAACAAGAAATTATGTTTATTAAAAATAGGTATTTACCTTCGTCTACAGCTCAAACTGTTGTAACTTGAGGATTATGTTTATTAAATTATGTTTGTCAAATTACCCCTACGTGCAGCACTATACACATCAGTCCCCTTGATGACATTTTCTATAACCTTTATCTTGTGCAATTGTTATGGAATTGGATCTCATCGTTCAGTTCCAGTATTGGGGAATTTCAAGAGCACACTGAACATCTAACACTAAAGATGTTACATTAAAGTTATGAATAATTTGTTAATAAATTTCCCCCTAGTAGAAGCTATTATCGTAGATGGCAAGGTGACACCTAGACCTTTAT